TTATTGATCGTAGATCAATTTGTGTTTGATGATGGTTGTAAATTAATTGATGTTTTAAGTTCCACTGTATTAAATGGGATTCGATGTGAAAATGTGTGAGAATATAAAATTCGGTCGTAAAAAATAGGCGCGACGCCCGGGATTCGAACCCGGGACCGCTGGAACACCGGTCAAGCGCGCTACCGTAGAGCTACCGCCGACTGATATGAAATCGCTGCTATACTACGTATATAGACTCGAGCGCTCAAAGCAAGACTTTCCGGAATTTTTTTGGGGGGTTTCTAGGGGGCGTTGGAAAAAACAAAAAAATACGGGTCAAATAAATTCATCCAAAGAGTTCGTATGAATTTTTTCAGCCCGATCGGAGGCGGCAGCTTGGGAAGTTCCCCTTGTAAGTTCAGGGGCCCTCCTTGCAGTATGTCGGGCCCCTTAACGTTTCATTGCGAAATTTTGTTTGAAAATGTGTGTAACTTTTGTGACCGAAGAAATTGAAAATTTAGGTATTTTCGCATTTTAAGTAAAGCTATTTAGAGGCTTAAAATTTACATTCAGTAAGCTCAAAATTGTATCTTTAGTACTTTCATGTTTGAAAATTTTCCAAGGGAGGCCCCACAGATCCCCCCTTTTCTACCTGTAGGTTACCCTCCTTCCCTTAGACTCTCCTGGGCCCATATTGTATTTGGATGGCCCTGTCTATTTGAGATAAAAAGATCACTCACCGTCCTTTGCGTAATCAAAAAACAGATGAAAGATAAGGCAATGAAGACATCTGCGATGATGAAGTACACAAATGCACTTCCAGTTGCTGAAGCACCCACCCACAGGGACACTATTTGAGCAATAGCCGCAAACACACCTCCAATAGCTAATCCTGTGATGATCGCACTGATGTATCTTGGAGGAAACAGTGAGGCCACACTAAAGATGGTAACTTGAAGAATTGCTGATGAAACTTTAGGAAAGAAATAGATGTACATCAGCTAGTGAGATACAAATTGTAAAAATGTAAATAAATAAAATTTCTTAAACTTAATTAAGATTTCTGATTAATAAAGCAAACTGATTCTCACAAATGATCAAATTATGTGATAAATGAAATTTAAAATAAATTAGTCATGTGGGTATGTAAAAGGGGGAAAACCCCATTCTTTTAAAGATTGTAGGTAAAAATGACTCCTTGTTCTTAGGTAGAGGTTTTTATCACTTTGTCAGGTGAGGTGTCTTGTTAAGACTGATGATTCACTTACTTAAGGTCTTGAGCTGTAAGGGATAAAAAAAATTATATTACCCATATGATGATCAATTTAAGCATTTTAATCATCATTTTCAGGTATACTTCGACAAAAAATTTGTGTCTCTTATACTATTGTGTGTGATTTTTGTGTAAGAATTTATCGTTATACTTAAGGATGAGCATTTTTTTGATTGACTAACTGCTTTTGATGTGAGGACTTTCAAGAGCAAACACATTCTGATTAAATTAGTTCAACACTGAACAATAAAATATATTTGTAGACTTACAGTTAAGAAGCATGATTGTTCCCAGTGTTAAGTAGAAAAAATTATCTTGCCCTGGAAATAAGAATGATAAAGCAGTGTAAACATAGTATAAAAAGATTTAATAGCTTCAAATGCAGTCACAAACCAAGATGTGTGTTTTTGTAGTTGCATTACATCTTTGATATAGAATTGCTAGAGAACAAATATTCTCTACGGATTCACAGCTTCTTAATATAGAAACAGAGAAGTGTTGAATCAATGAGTTTCCGATTTTAAGGCATTGATATCTTCATTGATGCTTTGCTACACCTCAATGCTATAAAAAATTCAAACCAAGTTTTTTCCGTGTGAAGTTTTCCTCTGAATGCCTCGCATATCTCAGGTTACATTAAAATTTCAGAGACATTTAAAAAAGTAAAAAATTCTATTAAATCAACCTCCTTTGGTTTAAATATTTGTGCCACTAAAGGAGAAATCCATGCACGGTAACTGGAGAATGCAGAGGGAAATAGTATAAGAAGTTCTCTCTTCCTTCGTGCCACCACTGCGTAGAATACTCAGCGATAGTCTCATGACCAGAGGTTGAATTAAAATATAACGGGTGATCCAAAAGTCCTATGCCACCTATAACTGACAGGGTTTTTGTCAGGAAAACCTTTATCACAAGGTGATCTTCCTGAAAATNGGGGGGGGGGGGGAGAGGTCTCAAAAGTCGTTTCCTTCAACCTAGGAGCCAAAAAAGTTCAAGTCCGTATCTTTTGTTCAAAAGTTTCAGAGGTGATGCCGAGTGCTGGTGGTGTGGGACTTTCAGATCACCCTGTGTAAAACATGGTAATTATGTAATACTCACAATGATCAGTGTCAACTTTCACTAGAGCAGTTGTGATGACAAATAGCAGGAACATGTTGAAGAGAGAGAAATACATTTTAGAACTGAGAGAAAATCTGTAAAACAAAGAGAGAGAGGTTGATTACTGAGGTTGAAAATTACAGGCTCAAAAAATAGAAAGCCCAGGAGAGTAAAATCTTTAATATCCCAAGGGCATACATTGATTAAAACTTCGTTAAAATTTCACTAAAACACAGTTTTGTCCCTGTCTTTTATTTCCCTATTTTATTTTTCTTTCCTATTTCTGCATTTTTTCAAAGTTCTTCTGAGCTGTTACCTGGCTAGTGTTAAGCATGGTGCCTTCATCCTTTTCAATGACCAGTGGTTAAGGAATTATTTATTACCTGTCTCTTGTTTGTGATTACTTAAGTATTAATTACTTTAACAGGAGTGCAGAAAATTTCAGATCACATGCCCAAACAGGTACATGAAAAACTGAAGAGGTCCTAAAAATGTGGAGGGAGCAAACATTTTCAAGAGGCAAAAGTCAAGGAAAAAGGGGAAAAAAGGTCATTCTTCTTCGAAATTAGGGGCAAAATTTTGCAGGTGGTTGATGAGAAAATGTGGAAAGCCAGCAGACGGACCCGAGAAAATGTGAAATTATGGAAGATTCTGCATGGCCCCAATTTTAAAGGAGTTTCATTCATAAAGTAGCAAGAAAAGGAATGTTTACAAAGATGGTGAAAATTAGGTATACATATTTAAAATAATGTAAAAGATTAATATGCGCTATTTTTTTTTGGACGAGTTAACCTACTTAGACAGAGTAATCATACTTACTTGCGGCCGACAAACGGATAGATACACAATGTCACAGTTGATGACATGGTTGCTACCAGACTTAAATATCCCATGAAAACTGTTTGCAAATCTGAGATATCATCATCGTCACCAAGAATATCATGAAGGAGAGTGTCATTCTGAGGCAGGAGCCGGAATTTGTACATCCAATAAGTGTATGCCGTTAGAAAAAAGAACCAAGGTAGTAGTATTCCAATGCCCAGTAAGTAGAATGTAATTAGCACAAAGTTCCACCTGTGATAACGAAGCATATTATGAATCTATGAAATATGATGACATTAAAAACATTCTTTCTTCATAAACTTAGGCTATAGAGGAATAATTAGAGTATTGAAACCTGCGAATGTCTGGATTAGTGATACGATCAGTACAACGAAACAAGTCCTTGAACCCGCATCATTTGTTGAAAAATCACCGGTAAATATATCGAAGAGTTTAATTTTCTTGAAATAAAATCAATTAAACTACTTGCTTGATGAGCATCTTAAAAAGTGAACCTATTTTATTTACCTGAATCATTTTCAGTCATTGGAGGTGTCTTAAAACTGAGGTTTAGAGGAATTTTGACCCCCAAAACCTTTTTTTGAATTTTCTTGAGCATTTTACTCCGTAAAGTGAAGTGTTGTTTAGGTCACCACTCATCAGTGGTGCCATCTGACTGCATGTATTAACCTGTTGAGTGGTGCTGATTCGGAGGTGATCAGAGATTGACATTTGTCTCAACATACGATATGTCCGCTCTAGATTACTATGAGGAGTATTGTTGTCAGAAGATGGTTGCCAACAATTGAAGAGTTTAGTAAAAATTAATTCTTGAGATGGGTAATCACTCAGTGTTAGATAACTGTAGATGATGAGTGACCATCTAAGGATTCGATTTTTTTCAGTCAAGCGGTTAGAAAATTACTCTGAGTTTGCCAATGATACGTTGCGACGAAAGTCAATCTCGAACAAGTCACACATTTGCACCATACAACAGGTAATCATAAGTTTTAATGCAGCCATTAGTGAGTGTTGACTAATTCAAAATTTGGCTTTGTCCTCAAAGCTTAACGCATGACTCCTGAATTGCCATGAGCCCTGCGATTTAATGAGTAGCATATAGCTTATGAACTGTAACATTTCGATTTCATGATGAAAAAGGTTGTATTATGGGTTCTTTATCCTTGAAAATAAATGAATAATTTGGATATATACCTGTCTTTAGGAAAGATCTGAAGATTCTTTCTATCGGAAGAATCTACAGGTGGTGTGTTCTGCGGTACCATCATTCCGTCAATTGAGCTATCGTCTGCTGGCTGTGTCATTATTTCTGGATTGGGATCCATTTGGTCAAATTGTAAAATGAACGACTAAAGTTTTAAGAACTGAAAAAATCTCCGTTAATCCTCGGAAATAACACTTTGCGAGCGGACAATAGGCTCTGAAGAAACACTGTTTCAATGGTTCCAAGAAACATTCATACACATCACATTTTCTGTTACCAACCGATGAGTTAGACAAAGTTCACTGTAAAAATAGGAGACACTAAAAGAATCTAGCATGATTCATCCAGTTACGAAGTTACTAGCAGATAAGAATGTGGAGTAAAGTCATATTTATTTACGATTGTGTTCAGTGTGTGGATAAAAGCACTACCAAAACAAAACAAAACACTAATGGTTAGATAACAAATGGGCGCACGCACGCACACCAACGCATGACCTTTACAATGTTGCTCAGGAAAAAGATATCAAAATATTAATAATACAGCCAGCAACGTAAAAAAACGCCAAACTTGACACCAGTGTTAGTCTCCAGATGATTCAGTTCCAGCGTTGCCAGTGGTGTAAGGTTTGTACTTGAATGAATATGAAGTATCCGATTCGATTCAAAAAGAGGAAAGCAGAGTGAGTGAAACCAAAATTTCTTGAATCCATATAATTCCGATCAAAACATTTAGAAGAGGTAAAAGTGTATAGTAATTCGTTTATCCGGCGATTTGGCTACCCGACGGGTGGCGCCGCGCAGCCGAAATTGGTTTTTTTTATGAGAGGCATGGCAACAGCCGAATGTAACAAAGTTGATTCATGCAAAGTAGGCACTTAAACAATTTTTAGAAAAAGACGTAAGGAAACGCAGCTAGAAAGAAAATAGGAAGAACACGTATTCTTTTGGCATTGGAAGTGAGTTTTCCACGCTTTTTTCGTAGCTTTATATTTGTTTCGATTACTAGCCGTACGCTAAGTGGAATCGACTGAAAATCTGAATCCTTGGAACTATATATTAATGATGATTCCTCATTTTCGATATGCGGCATGGACCTCCGCCTTAAATCGCCGGTTAATCGAAATGCCTACAAAGGAATAGCTCGCAGTATAAGCATGTACTTACTGTGAGAAAATAAATGTGTCATTTGAGCATACCTGAGAAACTTTGAAGGTTCAAGGTTGCATACATACACTTGAGGCTTGAAGCAGCTGAAAAATTGGGGTTTTAAATGATGCAACAATTCGGCCTCCGAGGCCACGCTATGTGGTATCTTTCCACAATGAAGGCGTTTATTTTGCGTCGACATTCTTCGTCAAAAAACTATGTAAATCAATCGCATTACTAACTACAGTTCTTCACTGTTGATTGGTCTTTTCAAGAGATGCAACTATTCGGCCTCCGCAGCCACGCTAGGAAGTATCTTTTCACAATGAAGGCGTTTCTTTTGTGTCAACAATCTCTATCATATTATCATCTGAACAGCCGCAGCTACAATCTACACCGCCTACAATGTTGATGGGGGTTTTAAATGATGCATGATGCAACTATTCGACCTCCGCGGCCACGCTAGGAACAGTGGCGTGGCGTGCTTTGCGATATATCGATTGATCTGTCATTTAAACCTATGGAAAAGGATCGATTAACAGGGCGTTCGCAGCGAACACCTTAGTAATCGATTCTTTACCATAGTTTCAAATGGTGAGATATCGATAATCGATTGTTCACGCCACACCACTGGCTAGGAAGTATCTTTTCATAATGGAGGCGTTTCTTATGCGTCGACACACTTCATGAAAAAATTATCTGAAGCAACGGCAATTCTAACGAAAATATGCTGACAACGCTGTGATTGTTTTTCTTTTCAAATTGTGCAATATTCACTCTGAAAAAAATGGTAGATTTTACCATACTCTGACTCAGCGATACGAGTATGGTAATAAACACCAGACGCTATGGTAGCAATCACTATATTACGGTATCACCTGAGGGCTGGTGAATACTGCCATGATTCTGGTTGTTTTCATTGAATAGTATCACTTTGTGAATAAAAATCAAGTAGATTCATAGTAGCTGTTACCATACTTTTCTTTCAGAGCGGACGTATGCAAATACGCCTTTTGTCAGGAAGAGGCGCCAACAAGAGCGCCTTCTTTCATAGTGGCGTGGCGTGAATTGCGATATATCGATTGTTATGCCATTTAAACCTATGATAAAAGATCGATTATCGGGGTGTTCACAGCGAACACCTTAGTAATCGATTCTCTACCATAGTTTCAAATGGCGAGATATCGATAATCGATTATTCACGGCACGCCACTACCTTCTCTTCGAAGAGAGACACGAGACGTTACGCCACCAAGATTCTTTCGCCCTTATTAACCCTTTACGGCATAGCGTTACGAATTCGTAACAGCGTATTTTCGGGGTTTTTAAACATTGAATATTTCTCCTGTGGCATGATTTTGCAAAATTTCATTAGTTTTTTCTCTTATTGAAAAATTAATTCTCTTAACTTTAATACGTATTTTAGAAAAATGTGTACTCTATATTATTTATGCAAGCTACAAAATAGATTAGTGCCCCCTAGAATATGAGATCCAAAATTAATTCATGCCATCGAGGGTTAACTACAAACAGCGTGAGTAGGCAGTCATGCATTCATGTCCAGGATGCGACTCTAGATGCGAAAGATCTGTGTTTCCCTAATCGGTGAAGTGAAAGCAAATCTTGATCGATGCGTATCAGAAGCAATGGGTCTTCTGTAATACAAAATATTATTTTATTCGATGGGCTTTCTGCGATCTCAGCCTGATAAGATATCAATTTAGGCGTCTGGTGGGGGAGGGGGTTAGCGGTGGAACTAGGATTTTTTTCCCAAGGGGCGTGCTGAGGGGCGCCTCTTAAAAGGGGGCTGGAATGTACAGATTGGCATCCCACCAAGGGGGATGAAAATTGGGGTTGATTTTATAACCAAACAACTTCAAAGTATTAGCATTTTTGATAGTAAAAACTGCAAAAATTCCGATGTTGTATCAGCCCGCCACATCCCATCTCGGGCCCTGGTACCAGTTTTCTAGCCCGGGTCCCTAGCACAGAGAGGGGTCCGGGGGGCCTTCCCCGGGAAATTTTTGAAATTTTAAATCTATTTGGACGTTTTGAAGCTCTTATGATGGAGATTTTCCAACAATTTCTGTAGAACAATTACGCTTTTTTTTTACTTTCAGCACCAAATACTTTCGAATTGTTGCATTCAAAACATCTATAAATTTTTTTTTGAGGGGGGCAGATGATACTTTTCAATTCTAGGGGGAGCCGGGCTCCCCTGGACTCCCCTTTCGTACGTCTATGGCAAGGGAGTTGAGCCGTCGAAGTCGAGGATGCTCAGACAGGAGGCTCTTAGCATCCGACAACGGAAGAAAATGAAACGCAGTTACTAAAAATATCATTCTGCATATACTCAAAATCTTGAAAATAGAAGGAAATCTCTAAAAAAGTAAGAAAAATTTTACAGTGCCCTAGCGTGTTTTTGAAACTTTATTCACCTTTTGCGGAATTTTCAGGGTAATTTTTTCACTTTTCCTTACGAGACAAGGGTTACACATGACACATGAATTCCTAGTGGTTTGTCACCTGCGTCACGGGCCCCTCCAGGGCCCGGGCCCCGGTACCAAGGACCCAGTATCCCCCCCCCCTTGTGGCGGGCCTGCGGCACAAATAGAATATAATTTGCCAGCGCCTCATCAAAAGTTCACATGGAAAACCTACTGTCAGTTAAAAAATATCCTGGCTCAAAAATTCTTCACTATACTTATGAGTGTGAAGTTGCTATTTTTGAAGAAGCTGGTTACTTTGTTCCTGCGAAAAATAGTTTTTCATAACCCGCCAAACAATGCTCTGGTTTCTAGCCATCATCATTTTTAAATTTTGAAGATTTGACTGGAATGATTTCCTCTTTTTCTAAGTTTCACAAAAACCGACAGGAGCCGAGATAGCATTTTAGGCCACGGCCGCCATCTTGGGTTTACGAATTTTGGAAATTTAACTAGAAATTTGAGTTTTCCGTCGAAAAATACCCCGCGATACCGAGTTTCACCGAACTCGAACGAACAGAAACTGAGATAGCATATTAGGCCACGTCCGCCATCTATGGGTATTAAAAATTTTCAAAAATTGACTAAAAATTCGGGTTTCCCGTCGAAAAATACCTGTAGACCCCGAATTTCAGAAAAATCCATCGAACAGGAACCGAGATAGCATTTTAAGCCACTTTTGTCATTTCGGATTTTCGAATTTTGAATTTTTTGAATTTTGATTTAAAACGCGTGATACCCAAAATCGAAGCTCAGATTCGGATTTCTCGTAAAAAATCGATGCGATTTCATTTATCATACCCTGACACCGAATTTCAGAAAAATCCATCGAGCAGGAGCCGCAGTGGCATTTTAGGCTACGTCCGTCATTTCTGATTTTTGAATTTAAAAAATTTGACTTAAAAGGCGTGATACCCAAAATCGAAGGTCAGATTCGGATTCCTCGTTAAAAATCGAGGCAATTTCATGTATCATACCCGAGCATAGCGTGGAGGAAAGAGACGCAACGTAGGCATACTGATTCGAGCATATGAATGCAACGTGGCAACATGGGTAGTGCTCAGCGGGTCAGCGGAGGAGGAAGAATAAGAATTTATCGTGAGGAATTCCTCGGGACGAAACCGAACGCTTGTTTAGCGCCGCGCCGGGCGGCGTAGTGCAAAGGGGCAGTATGACAGAATTCATATGCGCTGTTTAACCTCTTTCCTCAACGCTATGATAACATACGATACATGAAATCTCTTCAATTTTTCACGAGGAATCCGAATCTGAGCTTAGATTTTGGATATTACGCGCTTTAATATATTTAAAATCGTAGGAGAAATTACAGAATTGTCCTTGAAAATTGATCACACATTAGTGTTTTTTACCCCGTTTTTCTTCTGCGTTCACGCAGGCCCGCCACATCTCATCTCGGGCCCTGGTACCAGTTTTCTGGCCCGGGCCCCTAGCGCAGAAGGAGGCCCGGGGAGCCTCCCTCGGGAAATTTTTGAAATTTTAAATCTATTTGGACGCATTTTGAAGCTCTTATGATGGAGATTTTCCATCAATTTCTGCAGAATAATTACGCCTTTTTTTTACTTTCAGCACCAAATACTTTCGAATTGTTGCATTCAAAACATCTATACATTTTTTTGAGGGGGGGCAGATGATACTTTTCAATTCTAGGGGGAGCCGGGCCCCCTTGGGCTCCCCTTTCGTGCGTCTATGGCGAGGGAGTTGAGCCATTGAGGTCGAGGACGCCCAGACAGGAGCCTCTAAGCATCCGACAACGGAAGAAAATGAAACGCAGTTACTAAAAATATCATTCTATATATACC